GCTCAGGCAATCCACTCACCTCAGCCTCCCACAGGCGCGGGATTACAGGCTGAGCCACCGAGCCCGGCTTATATTTTGTACTTTAATCAATCACTTCCTAGCTTGAGTCCTATTCTGATGTTATCATTCTAATGTCAAATACCCTTGAAAAAACACCAGAGGACAAGATGGAAGTTTAGAAATTATGATAAAAAAGAAATCAATAAATTCTAGAGAAATTATATCAAGCAGGAGATAACATTTATATACTTTTCTATAACATATTAGTTTTCTATGGTTTATACAACTAAAAACACATAAAAAACATTTGCCACATTGTCCTAGTTATTCTCCTGAGTAATTGATCATTCTTGTATCATTTAAGACAACACATACCCCATAATTAGATAAGCTCTCCAAATAACTTTTACCTTTGTTCCTCACATAACTAGAAATAACCAACAACTTCTAGACCTACAAAAACAAATTATTACTGCTATTTCTTGAGATTTCTTGAGATCTACTTAAAAGTTAAACTATATTTTAAATTAATAATGGATTTTATTACATTTTCAGCATAGCCTCTAAGATGAAGTTTTATCACACTGGAGTTGGTTTTAGAAACATTAAGTGATCACCCAATACACAGACAAAAAAATTGGGATCTAAAAAGATTAAGTAACTCATCTACAGCAACATCAACAATTAGTGTCTGTTCTACTGATGAGATAATTTAAATTTCTTTTGTCTCAAACTGATTATGAGGAAAATTTTAAATGCTCATAATACTTTTTAAGTGCAGTTCTGAAATAGGATAGTGGGGAAAACCAGGTTGGAGGATTCCGTTCATCAAACTAGAAGCAACTTAAAATTTAGCATATCTTATCTAAAAGTACTTTTTAACTAATATTTTACCTGTGAAAAATAAGAACATTCTTCAGACACTGCTTTTCGAAGTTTTCCAATGAGTATCTGTAAAGGCTTTGCTTCATTGCCTAATAGAAGAAATAATGCATTACGACATTAATTTACACATTTAAGTACTAGAATCATATTTAACTCTTTTTCAACTAGAAGCTACCTTGCAATTAGTTTTAAATTCTTTCTTTCAAAGTTACTTTCCACTGCTCAGTGTCAATTCTTTCAGAAAATTTGTAAGACTTTCTATATACAAAGTGACTTTCAAACGTCTTTTAACTGCAACACAACACAATACATAATACAGCATAAAAACATCCATGTGAAACTGGAATAAAAATTTCACAAATCAGTATTTATGCTTTCTACATACTATATGGCTCAAGTGTTTTCTCTGCTACTCTATTCTTTTACTAAAAAAAAAAAAAAAAAATGGTGGTCATCACTCACTAAACCAACTTCATCACTCATTAACGGCCCCATTAACTAACTTGTAGTTTTAAAAACATTTGATAGACTATCTGAAGAGGACAGCAATAAAATAATACATGCTTAAAATCTTATTAAATTCAAACCCAAGAACTTCTCAAGTGAAAAATATAGTATTGTTATTTAAGCCATTCTTGAATTTCTACTCTGTTCAACAAAGCAATACCGTAGGTAGAACTTACAAAATACCTCATTCCCAAAGGCAAAAGTAGAAGCCTAGCAATACCTTGAACAGGAAGCCCAGTGAACTAAGTAATGAAAAAATTATCAAAGATAAAAGTTAACTAGAAATATTTTATAAACAGATTTCCTTTTCTTCCATTTAAGGTTCCTTAAATGTTGTTGCTTCCCAAAGTGCCATCTTAGTCTCCTAGGATGCCTTGCTCTTGTTCTTGGCATCTTGGAAACTAAACTAAATTGTCAGTTATTTATATATGCTCTCCCAATAGACTGTAACTTCTTATGGAAAAATAAGTAACTGAGTTTCATTTTCTCAAGCCCATAAATGAATGTCTAGTGATTATATGAACAAATGGATCCAGGACTGGGAAGTACAAGTCACCTTCCTCTACAGGTCCTAACACAAAGAGAATTATGGAATGGGGGGCTCCACTATATAAATAAGTGACATTTATTTGCATAATGGTACTTGTAATTCAGAAACCATTTACCTGTTTCTTGTGTTTTTCTATTTTGTAGCTCTAACTGGTGCATTTTCTGAAGTTCCTTGATCTTTTCCTCTTGAGCAGAAATAAGCTCCTGTTTAAGACTGCAAAGAGCTTTATCTTTTTCATTTTCCATATATTCACGAACCTGATCCACATGAGTTGAATAAACCAGAGACAGGCATATTCGTTGGGCTTCCATCTGTAGCCTTAAATCATTCTTAAAGTGAACATATATAAACATTAAAAATTTTTTTTAAATGCCACAGTAAATTCTTACATATATCCCCTTAAACAAACGTGCTAGTGCTTCTCTAGTGCAGTTCTCAAATTTGAGCATGTATCAGAATCAGATATATGCTAAATCAGAATCTGAGTGGAGTACTTATTTTTTTTACATGAGACATATTTTTTCCTCACCAAGGTTCTTTAATAACATGAATATAAAGCATTATATATTACATATTAAAATTATACAATCATAATTATCTCTTTAAAAAATTTTTTTTATTTTAAAGATGTGGGGTACACTTCAGGATTAGGCATAAAGTACTTAATAAAACAGATTGCTGGGCCCCCGACCCAGAGTTTCTGATTCACAGGAGGTCTGGGGTGGGGCCTGAGTATTTGAAATCTAACCTGTTTCCAAATTCTGATGCCAATACTGCTGATCAGGGACCACATTCTGAGAACCACCTAAAAAATGTACTGTACTTTGGTACTAATAGATAATGCAGATTTTTCCAAATTATCTTTTATATAACAGTACTCATTTACATAGCTATCAGCAGTGTACAAGTACTCATATCTGTACACCTTCACCATACTTTTTACTGTCAGACTTACTTTACCAAACTGGTGGGTATAAAATGCTACTTTATGGTATCAATTTGTAAAGTTGAAAGTATCTTTTCAAGTTTATTAGCTATTTTGGTTCCTATTCTAAGACACTTATCTATTAATATCCTTTACCCATGTTTATTTTGGGGGGCCTCTTCTTACATTAAGTATTATTTATATCTTCTTCATAATACATGTGGCAAATATCTGGTCTCTTTAACACTGTTTTATGGTAATGTTTGTGAAAACAAACATAACCAAATTTATCAATCTTTTCCTATTCTTTTTTTGGTCTTCACTAAAAGTCCTTTCCTCTTTCAAGATCCTATTTTCTTTTCATGTGTATGCCTTTAACCAATACGGAGTTATTTTTTTCTAAAGGGTAAAAATCTAATTCCCTAAATACCTAATCCTAATATCAAAAGTCACTTGTCCCAAAAGTAGTAAGTGAATACTATACACTTATCCTGCTAATTTAGCTTGTTCTTTCATTTGAGACTCTGCTCAAATATTACCTCACTGGAGCATTCTTCCTTGGTCCACCCTATATAAAAAAAAATCCACACCCACCTCTGGTAGATCTCTGTTCTTGTACATACTTAATTTTACTTTTCTTCACAGCACTAATTACCATCTGACACATTCGAGATTTGTCTGTCTTATTTAACGTTCCCCTAATCCCTCTAAAATATAAATTTTATTCTTCATTGCCTATTTTTATTCACTGTTATATCATCAATGCTTAGATTACTGCCTGGAATGCAGTAGAGGCTCATTTAGTATTAGTAAATAAACGTAAGAGCCACCTTACCACATACTAAACATTCACAAGAATCTGGATGTGTTTCTGGGCTTTCTATTATGTTGCACTAATCTGTCCTCCCAACATCAAACAATACTGTCTATTATGATTCTGTAGTAAATCTTGATATTAGATGGAATATATTTTTTCTAGGACTCTCTTGGATACTTACTCTTTTTTTGTAACTCATAATAATTTTATTTATGTATTTATTTAATACTCACTCTTCTATATCAATTTTAGAATTAGTTTTTTGAGATTCATAAAAAACATTCTTGGTATTTGGATTGAAACTATACTGAAGGTAGAAATTAATTTGGAGAGAACTGATATTTTTCTTTACTTTAAATCTTTCCACTATAAATATGGTATATATTGCCATATATCATCAGATCTTTATGTGCTTCAATGTTTTATAATTTTCTTCAGAAAACTTCAAAGCATCTCATTTCAAAATAATGTTGAAATAGTAAAGTTGATAGTGAGTTTCCTAGTCCTGTGCTTGATTTTAATAGGAATGCTTCTAGATTTCACCATTAGAAATTCTGAACTGGGCAAAGTGGATTATGCCTATAAACCCAGCTACTCAGAAGGTTGAGGTGGGTGGATCATTTGAGGCCAGGAGTTAGAGCCAGGGCAGCATGTAAGATCTCTCCCCCGCTAAAAAAATAAACAACTAGCTAGGAAAGATGGTACACGCCTGCAGTCCAGCTTCAGGAGGCTGAAGTGGGCAGATCACTTGAGCCCAGAAATTTGAGGCTACAGTGAGCCATGACTGAGCTACTATACTCCAGCCTGGGAAACAGAGTGAGACCCTGACTTTAAAAAAAAAAAGTGAGCAGGGCTCGGTGGCTCAGCCTGTAATTCCGCACCTTTGGGAGGCTGAGGTGAGTGGACTGCCTGAGCCTGCGGGTTCGAGACCCGCCTGGGCAACTTGGCGAGACCTCATCTCTACAATAAATCAAAAATCAGCTGGACGTGGTAGTGCGTGCCTATAATTCCGTCTACTTGGAAGGCTGAGGCGGAAGGATCGCTGGAGCCCAGTGGGTCGAGACTGCGGTGGCCGGGAGCGGCCACTACACTCCAGTCTGGGCGACAGAATGAAACTCCAACTCAAAAAAAGAAAAAAAAAAAGTGATCTGCTAAATGTTCTGAAGAAAACCATTATAGTAGTTAAGAAACTTTCTACTCCTGATTTCCCTAAGTTTTTTTGTGTTTTTAGATGATGAGTTGTTAAATTTTTTATGAATTCTTTTTCAGCATGTATTCAAATGATCATATGGATTTTCTTCTGCTATGCATGAATATGGAGTATGAGCATGGAGATTACATTAACAAATTTTTCAGATGTTGAACTATTCCACCATTCTTTGGATAATTTGCTAATACTCTAAGATTTCTACAACCATACTCCTAGGGGAAATTAGTCTATAATGTTATTTTCTTATACTGTTATCAAGTCTTTGTATCAATATTATATGAGTAAAATAAACTGGGTGGCTTTTCTTCCTTCTTTAACCCTATTCTATTAAGCAATTATACATCTGTTCTTTGAGAGCTGGTAAGACCAATGTGTAAAATTATCTAAATCTAATATTTTGGGTTAGAGGAGAGGGAAAATTTCTGACTACAATTTCAAATTATTTAATGGTTATTGGTTTATTCAGGTTTTGCATTTCTATTTGAGTTAATTTTGATAATTTGTATTCTTCCAGAAAACCCTCTAGTTTATCTCTGTTTTCAAATTTATTGACAGAGGTTATTTAAAAATCCCCATAGTACCTGTACTCAGGCCCTTATTTTCATTTTGTTTATGTGTCTTTTCCCACCTTGATCACATTCTCGAACACTTGTCTAATAATGTACTAATCTATTCAAATAATAAACTTTTGAAGCCTTTGAAAATTCTTCCTCCCCTTTTGGTTATAAGTTTCCTTATGTCTGGGATTGGCAGTAGTGGAAAACTGCCAGGGGAAGGGGGCACACCGCATCAATAAGGGTACCTGCATAATGAACATTTATATACCTGACCCTGAACTGTACCCCACATCTTTACAAAATTGAAAAGTAAATATATAATAAATGAACAAATAAGTAAGTTTCCTTATTTCTGTTCATTTTATTATTTCCTTTCTTCTACTTTCTTTGAGTCTGTACACTTTGATATTTTTGCTTCTCAAATTAATAGCTTAACTCATTTTCGATATTATTTGTACAATTGATATATTTAAGGTTAAAAGTCATCCTCTATATGTTGGGCTACATGCGTTCTACATTTTTCAAAAACATTCTTGGTTTCTGTGCATTTATTCTTCCAGGTGAACTGTAAACCAATTATCAAGTTGAATTTCAGTAACTTCATTGTCAGTTGGATTGGACCTACATAAGACTTGTAGATTAATAGAGAGATAACCATGGCATTTTACAATATTAAAAATGTACTACTCAGAAGTGAGATTTTTTCATTTATTCAAGTCTCTTGTCCTTTATTAAAGTATTACAACTTTATTTATATTGGTCTTAGAGATGATGTAAATTTATTCCTATATATTTCGAATTAAAGCTTTTTAGTTCATTTGCTTAATTTTCTTATTTCTGATTTAATTATATTTATGAATTATGGCCAATTAACTATCTTTCTTTCCATTTATATCATATATCTTTTTGTCATTGCAATGGTTAGGACCTATAAGCAATGCTGAACAGCAAGTAACAAAAGCTATTCTGATCTTCTCAACTCTAACATGAAGATTTATCTTGTTTTACTTTGGGCTTTGTTTATTCCTCCTTTATTCAGGCATTCATTCATTCATTCATTCAAAAATATATATATATATATTCACTGCCTACCATGTGTCACACATTATTCTAGGTGCTAGGGGTGGAACAGACTGAGTTCCTGCTCTCAAGGAGCTAAAATTCTAGTGGTTCTTCTTGTTTCTAAGCTCAAGTACCCCTTTCAATTCCAGTAATTACTTTCCATTTTAAACACATACATTTCAATCTATGACCTCTCTCAGCATCAATTATTATTAATCAGTATCAGTAACATTCCTGCCACTCTTCTTTCCTCCTTATATCTAGACACAGATAAGTCTTCTGTGATGTTTTTATTTTTGTCCTTCCGTCCAAACTTCCTAGGAGCATTAAAATACTCTGGAATCGAATTTCAAAATCCTTTCAGTTAAACACACACACATACACACAACTTCTTAACAGACATTTATTTTTGTAAGAAGTTTAGATTTTCAGTGAGAGATATCTGCCCTGAACTAAGCTTAGCACCAAGAATACAAGTACATTTTGTCACCTCTGCATTATTTCAAGCACATTTAGGCTGCTCTTGAAGTGTTAATTTATGTAAGTAACCGCTTGATTTCTTCTGTATGCTTCCCTCCACAAACACACCTCACGCCCCTCCTCACCGATAACGGTATTTATCTTGGTAATGGTAAGTAGGCCAGAAAAGTTTACAGGCTTGCTTCCCTTTACTTTATGTAGCTAATATCAAGGACAGAATATCTGAATGCCACTAAAAACATCTTCAGTAGGTAAAATAAAATTCTTACTAAGAAAATTTGATCATTTTAATAACTGAGTTTCAAATTCAGGTCCTCTCTCAATAATGCTTTTTAAAAGAAGGTAAGCAACATCTGACATGTTTAAGAGCAACTACCACAAATTATGATTTCAAAAACAATTCCAGACATGTAACAGAAGATTAATAGTTAAGCAATTTGAATTTCTTGACTCCACTTAGGTTATTAAATATGTGAACTACTCTATATTTGACATAAGATCATAAATATGTATATGTCATTAGAAATACAAAGAAAAAACTTTCCAATGATTCACTACTAAGAATAAAATCTAAACTTCTTACAAAATCTGTAAGGTTCTCCATGGTTTGGCCTCTTCCTTTTTCTTCAAACTCTTCTATTCTCCCTGCTCTCAAATTCAACTAAATGGGCCTTGGTTCTATTCCTCAAAGTCACCCATGTCTTTACAATTGCTCTAATTTTCATGTAAAAAGCTCCTCCCTGTCATTCTCACTTCAAACGTCAATTCCTTCAAGAGACCTTTCTGACCACCATATTTAATGTTGTCCCCTCATTGTACTCTATCACATTATCCTGTTTTATTTCTTCACAGAATTTGTCACTATTTATAACTATCCCATTTGTTTCCTCATTTATTGCCTGCCTCACTCATAAGAATATACACTCTTTGAGATCAGAAATCTCTCTCTTGTTTGACACTAGAATCTATACCTTGCTACACCTGGCAAGAGAGTCAATAAATATGTTCCATAAATGAAGAAACTTAGAAAACTTTAGTTTAGCATCAATATACTGTAACTACCCAGTAGAATGTTACTGTTATTTATAATATAAGTATCTGGAATGATCTATTATTACTCATCATATGCATATAATTCTTTAACCGTATTTACAGTTAATACTGTTTTTTCCCCTTCAGGTATAACAAGACTCTGAAAAAACTCTAGGACTTAAATTGTTTTTTTCCCCAGGGAAACATAATTTCATGACTACCAAACAACTATATACAGTATTTAAAAGCTTAGAAATTCATTTTCAGCTGTGTAAACTTGACAACACCAGCATAAAATAAAAATCCTAAAACCAACCTTTGAGATTACACCAAAATATTACAAAATAAAACTAATAATGCTTCAAAAGCTGAGATTCTCAACAAAGTTATTCAAATTCTTGTCTCTCTAAAGAAAATGTGAAGCTGTGAGTATGTTTTATTTCCTTAAGCAGAATATACAACATAGCTTTAGCTGAACAAAAGGTAACAATGTTTAAGGAAAAATGGTTAAAAGATAAATGTGAGGATTTCATTAAAGGACTCACTTTCATTCTCTTGAAAGGATATGAATTTATGCTTTATGAAGATGAAAATGTTTTACAGTATGAAATGTATATTTTCACTGTGCCTTACCATATATAAAGAAGTAGACATACCTGTTCTGATTTAAGTACAGTGAGTTCCTTCTGAAGTTTATCATTTTCACTTGGTTCAGGTGCTCCAAGTGATGAATCATTTGTTACTGATGGCAAGTGATCCAAAAAAATCTGTTCTTGCTTGCTTTCTTTTCTAACAGTCATATTTTCAAAAGGAATTTTATCTTCCGCCATTATTTTTGACTCTTCAGCAACACCTTTATTTATTTTAGAATCTGATACTCCAGAATCCTTGTTTGTCATAGTCAAAGCTCCATCTATTAAGGAGCTTAACTGGACATCACACACACTTACATTTTCTATCTTATTATGGTTAATAATGATTTCTAGTTCTCTGCATCTCAATAAAACTTGTTCTTTCTCTTGCTTTAAAGATTTAACTTCTTCACTTAGAACACTAATCTCACTATGTTTCTGCTTTAATTGTTCAGAAAGATCAGACAGTCTTTTTGACAGCTCTAGTTTTTCTCGCTTGGTTACCTCAAGTTTCTCCATGAGTTCTGTTGTATCTTTCTCAACAACCTCACCAATTTCCAGTGGTTCTCCTAGAAAAGTTTTGTCATCGTCAAAGACGAAACTTTTCATTTTCACTGAGGTTAGATTAAGTCTTTGCAAATGAAGCTCTGCATTAAGTGCTTTAAGCTTATTTTTATACTCTAACTCTTGCTTATTTTTACTGTCTTCTAAATCATCTTTTACCTTGAGAAGGCAAGCATACTCCTCTTGTAACTCTTGATAGTTAACTTCAAAGTTTTTTTCAGCAAATGAAAAAGTGTTCCTTTGCTTTTCAATCTCTTCATTTAACTGAATACATTGTTGTTTGAGGTCCTCATTTTCCTCCATAAGTATTTCTATTTCTTTTTGCCAGCTACAGTCTTTGGATTTGGACTTAATGGAGTAAACCAATCTTTCTTCTTGGTTAACAGGAGTACATATTTTCAACATGTCTTCAAGGGCTTTCTTTTCATCTTTAAGAATGCTATTCTCTGCTTCAAGGTGTGCAAATTTCTCTTGAAGATCATCTTCTCTTTCCTTCATTTGTTTCTCCAATAATTCTGTTTTCAGTTGTAATTCTTGAACTTCTTGTTCAAGTGTACCTTTTTCCTTTTCTTCTTGTCTGAGTATTTCAATTTCTTTTTGAAGTTCATTGATTTGAAGAGTCATTTCTTCTGACTTTGAATTCACAAGGGACTGCTGTAAATCTTTTAGCTTTGAAATTTCCAAAATCAACTGATTCTGCTTAGTTATCAAATTGTCTTTTTCAAACTGCATGGTTTCTATCTTTTGACTCATTTCGTTCTGTAAGCCATCTATCTGCTGTTTATAGTGAATGCCTAAGTTATCTTTAAGTTTTTCAATATTTATTCGGTGTTGAATTTCTAAATCTTCTTTCATTTTGGAAAGTTCTTCTTCATGACTAAATAGAAGCTGTGTTCTCAGCCTCTCTAATTCAGCTTCTTGTGATTCTGCCATTCTGTCTAACACAGCATTCTTTTCTTTTTCTAACATTTCAAGTTTTATCTTGTAATTTGTAACTTCTGCTTCATGTTTTAATTCTAGTTCCATCCTAGATTCAGATGCAGAAACAATCTCAGCTTTCAAATCTTCCACAGTAGTAAGGGACTTGTGTGCTTCATTCAGTTTATTTTCTTGTTCTGCTATTGTCTGTCTAGCTCTCTGAATCTGGTCCCTTGAAAAGGTCAATTCTTCAAACAGGTCTTCAAGCTGTCTCTGTAGAACTGACTTTTCTCCTGAAATTACTCCCAGTTCTTCCATGAGTTTTTCCTTTTGAGAATTAGTATCTTGTAATTTTATATTAAGGTCATTGATTGCCACATTCATTAACTTTATCTGATCTTCATTAACTGCAATATTTGGATATGACCTTAAAGCATTCTCCATTTCTACTTTATATTGTGTTTTCAGTTCCTCTATCTGTGACATGTGTTGTTTTATTAATTCTTGTTTCATCTGTACTATCTGCTGCCCATACATCTCATCCAGCTCTGCCCGGAGTTGTTCTAACTTTCTTTGTGTTTCCTGCTCCATTCTTTGTACTATATCAGTTTCAAATTGGTTATCTTTATGATTTCTCTTCTGAAGTTCTTCAACTGTCCCCATTAATTGTTTTATTTCCTCAGAAGACTGTCTTTCTTTTTGCTTAGAATTAGTCAGTTCTAATTTCATATGTTTTATCTCTTGATTCTTTAGTACAACCTGTTCTTGTAATTCTCCTAGTAGTTTATCAGCAGCTGTTACTTTATCCTTTAGCTCAAGAGTTGTTTTTTCTTCTTCTATTATTTTTGCATTTAATTCTTCAATAATTGTCTCCTTTGCCTGTATTTCTTCTTTATTTGAGTTTTCTACTTTTTTATCTTGTTCCTTTAGAAAAAAAATAATAAAAATATTAAAATGGAATCTTTACCTTCTTATACCAGCAACTTATACCACTTAATCTCATTACCAAAAGACTAGTAGAAGTCTGCTTTTTATAAAATTCAATAAAAGTAACTATTGGATCCACCTCTCAGTTTTTCCCATGACAATGAGACCAAGAACTTTTGCATATAACACTACTTGTGAGCAAATACGACAGGAGTTTTGGCCTCCTTGAAGAAATTTATCTTACATTACTATGATTTATAATTTTACTTTAAAAATCCAGTCTGATTTAGATGTTTCTAAACCATTATATTTTCATTCTTTAATTAACTGATTAACATTCTAAATATTTATTATTTTCTATAGCTAGTTAAAGTACTACATGTAGACACTTCCAGGAAGATATCTTTAAAAAAAATCATGGTTCCTCTCATGTATTCTGGTGACTTAAATATGTTTCATAGGCAAAGGCTATAAAAAGAAAAAAAACAACAACAGCAAAAATAAATCTCTATGAGTCTGCCTTAATTTCAATTGTGTGCTCTCAAGTCAATCAGAAATTTAGTCATATGCAATGCTTAAGTAGCTAAACCACAAGTGACATCCAAGGTAACTATACCATTTATGGCATATCAAATTGGTCCTAAACTTTTGGTTCAAATAGAAATTTGAAAGCAAGGCAGATACTTTCCCCTAGTTCCTCTCTGGGACTCTTTTGAAACTGAAATAAGGCTAAGGACAGACACAGGCCAAGGAATATCTGTTATCATAATTATTTCAACATAACAAGTAGAACAGAAGCCATGAGGTTAAAGTTTTGGCTAAGCTACTTAGTTACCTCTAAGGGCTATAAGAAACAAAGAAGAAATACAATATACAGAATGAATCAGAACATAGGCAGGTAAGTAAAATTACCTAAAGAAGACAAGAGTACCAGGCAAGCAAGACTTAAAAGGCACCTTGAATGACTGTATTGATATATCTAAACAAAGACTGTCAAAGCCCAGAAGAAGAAAAGTCTCAGAGGGAAATGTTGGCAGTGCCCATTCAAGCACAGTCCAGGTGACAGAACAAACAAATGTGCCATCAGTCTTTGAGAATTCTGATCCCTCTAGATAAACCATATTTAACACAGAAAGCAATGTTGGGGATTAGAGCAAACAGCATTTAAGAATTCCAGTCTACAGGCATGACAACTCTTACTGTGAGATGAATAAATCAAGTCATCTTAGCCTAATGCCACTGAACATCTAATTCCTCTAAAACCCTTTGACCTCATGCTCACAAAACATTCTAATTTTTACTTGGCTTTTTAATTTCACTTGCCCATTGAAAGAAAATAAAATACAATGAACTAGAAATATACAGGTCCCTGTAATAATTATTTTCATTGTAAATTAATAATGTTATTCAAGTTTTGAACATTAGTCTCTTAACTTGGAAAATACAAGTTCACTTCTGATATAGATCAAGTCTCAGTTGATAAAGAAAAAAAATCAGACTTCTGAGCCTACAGGTTGAAAGCCAGATGCTGCACTATATAAATTAGCCAAGGCAATGAACGCTATCCTGTGAAGCCTCTTGAGCAAAATTCTATCAGCTTTATCTTTGTGTCACATATTCTATCCAATGTCACCATACGTTATTACCAAATGCTAGGCCTTCTTATTGCAATTTCAGTACTACAAATACAACTTTGGAAATCAGTTTAATCTCTTCTAATTCCAGTGTTTTTATCTGTACAATAAAGATATTATTATTCCTTCTATCTCCCAGAATAGGCTTCTGGCTAAACAAAATACTGTATATAACAATATTTTATTCTTACTTTACTAAATATAAATGTAATATATTTATACACTAAAAACACTATAAGGTATTTGACACCAATAAGAATGTAAAGTCCATTCATGATGGCCAATTTCAGTTAAACAGTTAAATAACTCATTAGTTTTGAAAAATGTTGATGATGTTATATAATCTAACTCTTCTATTTCCTGACTTTTCTATAGTGGAAGAACCCCTCATAAAACAGTATCACTTAATTCAAGATTGTCTAACACCTAATATAATTTTTAAAAACCAATAATAAGTCTTCATTCAACTATTAAACAACACAAATTTATGGGGTTTTGTTTTTGTTTGTTTAGTCCCGCTTATTTCAAAGTACATGATTTTAAATCACTTAATTTTATGTTGTTAAAAACAATTGTCACGTGGTTGAAGATACAATCCTTCTATGTTTTTGAAATAAAACTGATATATTGGAAAATAATATACTCACCGCATGTAACTACTGTACCATGAGAAGTTAGACGAATTAGGACAATGAGAATGGGCCTTTGCCCACTAATTTAGTTGTCTGGGTGACCATGAGAGTGTCAATTGTGACCCTATACCTTGGTTCCTTAGTTGCTCTGAAAGAACTACTACTTAGGGAGATAAAGTTTTCTTAATGGACAGTTAAAAGATATATGTAATGAAAAAGAGATTGATAAAATATTCTAGCTAAAACTTAAATAAAGGTTATTCCCCCTACTAAAATGAATTACTTGAATTTGAATAACCCAAATTATACTGCCTACTGAATATAATAAATACAATTTCCAGGCTCTTCTGTCCTAGATCTATACCATCTTTCTACCCTCACTTGCTAGGAAGACACACTTTCAAAGACTATTGTTGTCTAGACAAATTACACTATTTTTTCCTCTCTACCCATTTTCAACATGTTTCAGCCTGAGTCTTTATGCCCACTCCACAACCTAAAATATCCTCCCCAACTCTATCAATTGAGATCCATAATTTGGTCGCTTGTTTATCGAGTAAGTATTGAGTGGCTCCTATGTTCCATACATTATGCCAACTGTTGGGGAAACAAAATACAATTTAAAAGGAATTGTTCCAACTTACAGATCTATCTCAAATATCACCTCTCCCTAAAGCCTACACTGAATCTCCTCCCTCATGAAGCCAGACCTCAGAACCTTAAAACATTTTTTGCATATACTTATCCTTGTTTTGTGATGTCTTGTGTACACACCATAGCTCTCCTAATAATCTATGAGTTACAGTGAAGAAAAGGATACCTTTTAAGCATTACTATATCTCTTCATATAGTAAGAGCCTGTTACAAAATAGGTATTCTGTAAAAATTTACCTATTATTTTTGCAATTACCTTAGTTGTAAAGCAAGTCTTTTTCATAATTTCAATGTCTTCATTTTATACATTTCCTGTTATTCTGAGTGCAGTCTCCAGAGTCAGACAACCTAGTTCTGAAATCTGGCATACATCAACCTATTACTGGGTACTTGGGCAATTTACTCCATCTTGCCTTGTTTTGGTGCCCTCAATTGTAAAACAGGGGTGACAATAGTACCTCTATTACATAGGGTTGTAGTGATGATTCAATAAGTTAATAAGTGTAAGATGCTTTGAATACTACCTGTTACAGAGTAAGCACTTAATAAATGCCACCAAAACTTTTTTTTAATTATCCAAGGCAATTTTCTTGTCTTGGAGATTTCTCAACCTCTTGCAGAAAACCCCCTAAGTTATAAAAAGTACTATACTGCATGTACAATTCATCTTCATTTTTTGCAGACTCATTTCTGAATTCTTGCAAAAACTTATTTGCAACCTACAAATCAATACTCATGATGCTTTCACAGTCATTTGTAGATATGCACAGAGTGACAAAAAAATTAACACATGTCTTCAGCTAAAATCAAACCAGGCAGCCGCATTCTGACTTGTTTTAGTTCTCATACAGAGAGAACCAGAGGATGGGGATCAGAGGAAGCAGTGTAAAAAGCTATGGCTCTGGGTCAGTTGACAAGATTTGAATTCCAAGTCTAGCACCTGTTAATAAGGTGGCCACAGGCAAGTCATGTCTAAATCTCAATTTCTCTCTTAAAAAATAGGGAAAATAAGCCGGGCTCGGTGGCTCAGCCTGTAATCCCGTGCCTTTGGGAGGCTGAGGT